AAACTGAAAGACATTTTTTTTTAAAGACATTTAAAGGGATAGTTCACGCAAAAATGAAAACGTTGTCATCATTTACTCACCCTCATGTCGTTCCAAACTTTTCTCATGTTGAACATAAAAGAAGATATTTTGAAGAATGCTGGAAATCAAAGAGTTGAAGGTCCCCATTGACTTCCATAGTATTTCTTCTCCTGCTAAGGAAGTCAATGGGGACCAACATCCCTTTGGTTCTTTAAAATGTCTTCTTTTGTGTTCAACATAAGAAAGAAACTCATACAGGTTTGGAATGACATGAGGGTGAGTATATGATGACAGAATTTTCATTTTCTGGTGAACTATTCTTTTAATTGTATTACATGATTTTTGTTTATGTCATGAATATATGCCTAATGTAAACTTTTTTTTTCTATTGCTTTTTGCTTTAAAAAAGGTTATAAAAATGTCAATAATTATCGATACCGAGCGATATGAAACATTATATCATTGATTTGATATTCAGTCTCCTCAACTGACTGGTATGTAAGACCGAAATAAACATGAACTTTTGTAAGAAGTAAACCATAAATGGAGATCTTATTATAAAAGGTCTCCAGTGAACATTTACCTCACAGCACTGCGCATGTGTTAAAAGTATTTTTGAGAAGATCATATTCAGTCATTGTTATGTTCAAGTGTTTACATGCTTAGTTTTTTTTTCCCCTATTGATTGGATTATTTCAGGTCTGCACCACTCCTTTCAATCCGATCAAAATATCAGATCGTTCAGATCGAGCTCATTCGGGTCAATTGACGTTTACATGAAGCTTTTCAATCCGGATCGAGTCATCAGTCCAATCACTAAAAAAGGTTATAAAAATGTCAATAATTATCGATACCGAGCGATATATGAAACATTATATCATTGATTTGATATTCAGTCTCCTCAACTGACTGGTATGTAAGACCTAAATAAACATGAACTTTTGTAAGAAGTAAACCATAAATGGAGATCTTATTATAAAAGGTCTCCGGTGAACATTTACCTCACAGCACTGCGCATGTGTTAAAAGTATTTTTGAGAAGATCATATTCAGTCATTGTTATGTTCAAGTGTTTACATGCTTAGTTTTTTTTCCCCCTATTGATTGGATTATTTCAGGTCTGCACCACTCCTTTCAATCCGATCAAAATATCAGATCGTTCAGATCGAGCTCATTCGGGTCAATTGACGTTTACATGAAGCTTTTCAATCCGAATAATATATTTTTAATATATAATTATATTTTTCATTGTAAATGTATGAAATGCACTTCCGTGTTTTTTTATTATTCATTCATTCATTCATTCATTATCTATTAGCCTAAATCTGTTAAATTGCGTGCATTAACTTAGGTCCAATTCTGTGCTTATGTACTCAATAAATAATCCAAAACCAAAAGCCAATACAGAGGAGTATTAGAGCTGCAGACAGTTAAGTAGGTTCTCATATTTGGTCTCTAAAAATGGCATTGCTGCATTCGTTCCTGAAACAGTCAACATATGATGAAATTTAACTACAGATATTATACTGTTTTTGTGTTTGTTGTTGATGTCTTCTCAGCTGATGTATTATTACATTGAAATATAGTCATTTTCATTTAATACACTCCTAGATAGATCTGTTGATGTTGTGAAATCTTTTGAAGTTATTTTTAAGTACATAAACCAGGGAGAGAGAGATAGCTGAGCAGCAGTTATCTGAAGTGTGCGCCCTTGAAGATTAAAGTTGATTTTAAGATTGGATTAGGCATGCTGCAGATTTTTACCTTCATTCCATGGCATTTTAACATGCCTAGTGTTCTCATTGTCAAATTAAATATAAATCGTTAAACCTGCTTTGAAATTCTGTAGGGGATCAAATTCAGTTGCAAGATTCATGGAGTTTTTCAGAATTTTAACTATGATGTTAGTGAATATATAATGCAGTAACAAACCGCCATGTCACTCTTTGTCCTTCAGAATATCCAACTGAATGCCTTCATTCACTCTTACTGTGTGACTCCCCCTACAAAAGACATATGCAATTGCTTCTCTGCAGGTTATTAAAGCTGTCCTAATATGAGTGTCTTTAAAAAAAAGGCTTAGTTTGGACCCCTAGAGCATCCATCAACCCACCGTTATTAATTCTGAATGAGTGCAACCAATGGACCATGGACCAATTTAAGAGTAACCTTGCTGAAATTGAAAATCCCTCTGGTTTTGCCCCCGATAGTATCATTCAAATACAATAAAAGAACAAGAGATTGTGTGTTTGTATGTGTGTGTATTTCCATCTGCAGTGCAGCGTTTTCTCAGTGCAAGCCTTGACCCCTTCTGATGTGTAAGGGTGGGTCGTGTTTCTGTTTCTCTGTGCATGAGGAAGGACCCCAGAACGTCGGGGGTCTGACTTTGATGTGCAAGTGACCCACATATAGAAACTGAAAGCAGTGCCCCCGGTCCAATGGAGAAGACAACTGTCCCTGCAAGCAACAGCTTTGGCTTTTCCAGTCTGAGTAGATAGCGTCTGCACAGACTGTCATGTGGCAACAATGTCACCTGGTGGCTATATTTGCATTTGGCTTTATGTTCAGAGATATTTGCTGTTTACTTTGATCAATGGTCATTTGAAGCACCTGTATTGTTAAAATGAGGACAGGATGAGGACTTTGGAAATCCAGCCCCTTTTTTTATTTATTTATTTATTTTATTGTATGCGGCATTAGGGCGTTTTTTCATCTTATCTTATCTTGTCAGAATGTCTGCTCAAGATGATGGCTTATTATTGTGTCAGAGTTACTGATGAATCACAGGGCTCTTATTGTGGACATGTTTGGGGGTGAGGGAGGGAACTTGTCAAACGCTAGCTGCACAGTTTCAAGTGGCCAATCAAAAAGAAAAAGAAAAAAAGAGGAATTCAGAGAAAAGTCACCTTCATCACAACAGCTTTGATGGACTTTGATGTCCTGAAAGTCCTTTTTGAAAATTAAACTATGAATTTTGAGATGTTTACAACGCTTGTTACAGCAATGAGAAACTATTCAGCCGTTACAGCAAAGAGTAATGGTGAAATACAACATAGACAGGCCTACCTTTTCTAGTCAATTGGTGGCTGACTAAATACTTTTTTGCCCCACTGTAAATACAGCCATGCAGACAAACATGTTAAGTGAGTCATCAGTTGTGCTTATATTAATAACAGGATCTGATCTTGATAACCGGATCAGTTTCTTCGCTGCTCCTATTAGTATGCAGTCTGATATAATTAGAGCAAAAATAAATAATCAGAGCCAATCGAAAATCACATCACACCAAACCTCTCTCACAGTTCATTGGAATGCTGTTGTGAGCTGACAACTGAGAGGCTTCAGTTAACACAAGGGAGACTAATCCTCTCTATTACAGAGAGAAGAACTAAACTAAACTGAACTAAAACCAGACAGCTGAGCACAGAAAGATAAAGAAAGAGACTGAAATAGAGAGCAAGAAAAGAAGGAATATAAATACTGTGAGAGACATGCACGCAAGCTATTCCAGACCCCCTTACGTGTAAGTTTGCTATCACCATGGCAGTATTATGATAGTATCAGCAGTAATATGGCCCAGTGAGATTATATTGAGAATAGAAGAGGACCAAGCACTGAACCCTGAGGTACCTCGGTTCTGTGATGATTTAGACACAACTTGAAAAACAAAATACATATTATGTTAATGTTGAATAAAATGGTAAATAAAATTAATCAATGTTGTTGCTCCCATATTAAAAATGGTTGAACTAAAATGTAAATATAATGTACAAGTGACAAGTTCATAACTCTGGACTTTGCATTAAGTTAGAAAATCAATATTGTTTTAGTATGTTATTATTGGCCTAGTTAAAAAGTAATATACTCTCATACTTATATAATGTACTTTGTCCTAAAAAAGGTTGAAGACCCAGGAGCTAGAACAATCAGAAGGTCGAGCTAAAGATCTGCCAAAACCGCAAAATGTTTCTGTGAGAAGTCTACAGTATAACTTTTATGTTACTCATCATTTCCTTATATTGAGATACTGGAATTGACAGGAAATCAGATCAGCAGAGCAAAAAAAAAGTCTCATTTACATATGTCCTTCTCCTTTCCTTATTGACATTCTGGTATCAACAGATACAATCTTATAATTATGTTACAAAACCATATCCAGACAGAGAAGCAAAAGGCAGTGGTTTGCTAAAGGACAGGTCAACAGACTCATTTATCGACCGGCCCCATGGCCCCAAACAAACACAGTTTTGTCATTTCACCCCATGGAGCTGCAGCTACACTGTGTAATCAGAAACCCTCTACTACAGTGTAGTGGACTTTCACTCTAGCTTCTAGTTCAATATACAGTTACGCTTATAGTTTCCTTGACTTGAAGTGGATATGTCTCTGCCTTACACCAGCCAATACAATCCGGTCCAGATAGCCAGCTGTCACAAGGTGTACTGTAATTACACCCCTCTGTGTGCTATCTAAACAGTCACTGTAGTAGATGGGCTATGTTACACTGTGGTTATATATCTATTTTTACTTTGTTAAATATATAGCCAACACAAATCAATATTTCATGTCTATTTATTTATTTATGTATGGTAATTGGGTTTGGCTTCCAACAATTTTCAAAATATATTCTCATTTGTGTTCTGCAGATAAACGAAAGACATACAGGTTTGAAACAACATGAGTGTGTGTGAATGATGACCATTTTCATTTTTAGGTGAACTATCACTTTAAGTCTTAACTTGGAAAGCTTCAAAAATTCAAAGATTAATTTACTGGCTGAGAAAAAGTACAGAATCATACATGTGTGTTCTTTATTTATGTCATTTATGTTTATATCATTTATGTTCATCATCTTAAAACATTTCATTTATTTCCAGTTATAAATCAGATTTTGGGAATTTCAGGTCTAAGAATTTGGGACCCTGTGGGAATTTTCCTCTCTTTCTGTCCATCACTATTTTATTCTCTCTTTCTTTTCAGGACATGGACTCTATGTGGTACTCCTGAGTATTTAGCTCCAGAAGTTATCCAAAGTAAAGGTCACGGGCGAGCCGTGGACTGGTGGGCTTTGGGTGTTCTCATCTTTGAAATGCTTGCAGGGTAAGACGGCATTATGATCACCTCCTAAACATTTTACACCAGGGATTTCAACCAGGAGTCTGTGTAGCCCTGGTAGTTTGTAATTTACTTCAGGGACTCCGAGTTACCGTCTTCCGCCATTTTGGAGAGTACCCCAGAACGTAATCAACGTAATGAGCGTTGTTTACATTCGGCATGCATGCGCTTTCGCTGAACATAATCAGCGTTGTTTATGTTCAGTAGACAGTGTGCGCATGCTGAATGTAAACAATGCTCATTATGCTGGGTACTCTCCAAAATGGCGGAAGACTGTAACTCTGGGAGAAGAACTGCTGAATAAATTATGTTATTGTTGTTTTCTTTGCGCACAAAAAGTATTCTCGTAGTTTCGGAAAATTACGGTTGAACCCCTGATGTCACATGGACTATTTTACCGATGTCCTTGTTACGTTTCTATGCGTTTATCGTGGTAATAGCATTGCTGTCTATGGAGGGTCAGAGAGCGCTCAGATTCCATCAAAAATATCTCAGTTGGTGTTCCAAAGATGAACGAAGGTCTTACGGATTTTGAACGACATGAGGGTGAGAAATTAATGACAGAATTTTCATTTTTGGGTGAACTATCCCTTTAAGTGCTGAGTAATATTAATTAGCTACATAGTTAGGGTTAGTTATTAGGGTTTGATTTAGGGTTACTTGCATGCAATTATGCATCATTTATTGTTATTATAATAGTAAGCACATGTAACAGGGACACCTTAAAATAAAGTGTCACCCTATATTTTTATTATTGGGAGTGACTGGGTTTGTTAAGAGTCAAACCCCTGATTTACAGCAAAACAACTCAGTAATTGAATTTCCATCTTTTAAAATTCATCACATGTCCGTGACTTTCACGTGTTTGTGAGAAAAAAAAATCCTATTTTGTGACAACTATTTTCCATGTATAATTGAACTGCCCTTAAGCTAAAGGTTACTTGACCAAAACCAGTCATGAATAAATACATGATGAAAAACAACACTTGCTATTGCATCCTGTATGGCTCAGACTGTATTTGTACTGGCTTGTGGTCAGGAAAAATCAGCTATTGTCAAAGATACACCACTAGAGAGCAGCAGTGGAATATTAGACACTGAGTTCTGCCAAAGGCCCAAACCTCCATGTGCATGTCTCAAAAGCAGATGGCCTCTTTCAGTGCTGCCTTGATATTTATCCTTATTTGCCTAGATGTTTATCCTCGCAGCCTACATTTAGTGTGCGCAAACTGGCATATTTAATATGCACACAGATATTCTGCTCATATTTACAGTATCTCAGGGGGCGGATGCATTTCTTGGAATATAACTTGTTTACAAAAAGATTACATCCAGATTAAATTCTCATTACCAGCACATGTGGGCATAAATGTGTGGTAGAACAGCATGCAACATTTGTAGATAAATTTTGTACAAATTATATAAAATGATATGTTATATTTTTATTTCTTTTGGCATAATATCTGTCTTGCAAAAGTAAATGTGTTAATTTTGTCACATGGACTCCAAAGCCGGTGTGAAACTAAACTTCTTCCCTCCTGGTATAAGTTTGGATGCTGTAGTGTATATCCCGTCCAAACTGCTCCATTCTCCCACCTCTAAATCTGCCCTAGAGCTTTCACAGGCTCTTGTGTGGAAGAAAAAGTGACCCACCCTCTTAATTCATCCCAGACTTCTTTTGAAGTGTTGGCTCCTGCATGTGAGTGAGAGAAAATGACCTGGTCCCTTATTTTTTCAAGAGACAGGCACATGGACATACAGTGCCCTCCATAAGTATTGGAACAGTAAAGACAAAATTGCTCTGTTTGCTGTGGAGTCAAGACATTTGCAAATATGATTAAAAGATGGATATGAGACAAAACTACAGAATGTCACATTTTATTATTAGCCGTTTCAACACGCATGTTTTACCAAATAAAAAGGACAGCACTTTTAAGACTTTATCCCACAATTTGATGTGAGCATAAGTACTGGAACAGTTGAACCTAAGGCAGATGTAAAAAATTAAAAGCTAATATTTAGTTGTAGATCCCTTGCGTGCAGTCAGAACAGTGAGTATGCGACCCATAGACATCACCAGACTCTTAGTCTTATCCTTTGAAATGCTTTTCCCAGCCTTTAATGCAGCCAATACCAACTGTTGCTTGTTTTGGGGAGTTTCTGCCTTTAGTCTCCTCTTCAGCTGGTGAAGTTAATGTTCAATCGGATTTAAATCTGGATATTGACTTGGGTAATCTAAGACTTTACATTTCTTTACCCTGATAAACTCCTTGAATGAACTGGTAGGGTGTTTTGGGTCATTGTCCTGATGCAATATGAAGCGCTTTCTGATGAGTCTGGTGGCATTTTCTTGAATATTGGTAGCCAAGATGGTTTTGTAACCTTCCAAATTCATTCTGCTGTCATCATACATTAAGTCATCATTGAAACTGAAAGGGCCTGTTCTAGAGACAGCCATGTATGCCCATGCCATGACACAACCTCCACCATGCTTTACAGATGAGGCTGTATGCTTAGGGTCATTTGCCGTTCCCTTTTTTTCTCCACACTTTTGCTTTCCCATCACTTAGATAAAAGTTCATCTTTGTCTCATCTGTCCATAAAACTTCGTTCCAAAACTCTACTGGCTTTTGCAAACTCTAATCTTGCCTTTCTAGTTTTGGTGCTTGTCAGAGGTTTTCATCTTGCTGTGTAGCATCTGTAGTTCTGTGTCAAAGTTTCATGCGGACAGTAGATTGTCAGAGCATCACCCCCCAGCTTTCTGGAGGTTGTTGGTGATTTTACAGACATGTATTTTATAGAGTTCATTTTCACAGCTTCTATGATTTGTCTGTCATCAACTACTGTTGTTTTTCTCAGCCGATCAGGTCGTTGTTGGTTGCTGATGTCGCCGGTGGTTTCCAAACTCTTGATTTCTCCATGCCATTTGTTTTTAATTGACTTCCTCTTTTCATTTAGCAATTTTAGCAAATTGCTTTCTTTTCTCTCAAAGTCAGCTCACTCGTCTTCATCCTGGTTTGTGTGTGTCGTCATCGTATGCAAGACTCAGAATGCAGAAGCAATGGATATAACTGATACGACACATTCCCTGCTTTTAATATCTGAATAATTAATGCAACTGGACACAGCTGATCACTTAGGAAGACCTGTGAGGCAACTGTTCCAATACTTATGCTCACATCAGATAGGGGGATGAAACTCTAAAGTGCTGATCTTCTTAGTTGGTGAAACATGTATGTGTTAAAACACCCAATAATAAAATGTGACAGTTTGTAGTTTTGTCTCATATTCATTTTTTAATCATATTTACAGATTTCTTGACTCCACAAATGTGTGGTAGAACAGCATGCAACATTTGTAGATAAATTTTGTACAAATTATATAAAATGATATGTTATATTTTTATTTCTTTTGGCATAATATCTGTCTTGCAAAAGTAAATGTGTTAATTTTGTCACATGGACTCCAAAGCCGGTGTGAAACTAAACTTCTTCCCTCCTGGTATAAGTTTGGATGCTGTAGTGTATATCCCGTCCAAACTGCTCCATTCTCCCACCTCTAAATCTGCCCTAGAGCTTTCACAGGCTCTTGTGTGGAAGAAAAAGTGACCCACCCTCTTAATTCATCCCAGACTTCTTTTGAAGTGTTGGCTCCTGCATGTGAGTGAGAGAAAATGACCTGGTCCCTTATTTTTTCAAGAGACAGGCACATGGACATACAGTGCCCTCCATAAGTATTGGAACAGTAAAGACAAAATTGCTCTGTTTGCTGTGGAGTCAAGACATTTGCAAATATGATTAAAAGATGGATATGAGACAAAACTACAGAATGTCACATTTTATTATTAGCCGTTTCAACACGCATGTTTTACCAAATAAAAAGGACAGCACTTTTAAGACTTTATCCCACAATTTGATGTGAGCATAAGTACTGGAACAGTTGAACCTAAGGCAGATGTAAAAAATTAAAAGCTAATATTTAGTTGTAGATCCCTTGCGTGCAGTCAGAACAGTGAGTATGCGACCCATAGACATCACCAGACTCTTAGTCTTATCCTTTGAAATGCTTTTCCCAGCCTTTAATGCAGCCAATACCAACTGTTGCTTGTTTTGGGGAGTTTCTGCCTTTAGTCTCCTCTTCAGCTGGTGAAGTTAATGTTCAATCGGATTTAAATCTGGATATTGACTTGGGTAATCTAAGACTTTACATTTCTTTACCCTGATAAACTCCTTGAATGAACTGGTAGGGTGTTTTGGGTCATTGTCCTGATGCAATATGAAGCGCTTTCTGATGAGTCTGGTGGCATTTTCTTGAATATTGGTAGCCAAGATGGTTTTGTAACCTTCCAAATTCATTCTGCTGTCATCATACATTAAGTCATCATTGAAACTGAAAGGGCCTGTTCTAGAGACAGCCATGTATGCCCATGCCATGACACAACCTCCACCATGCTTTACAGATGAGGCTGTATGCTTAGGGTCATTTGCCGTTCCCTTTTTTTCTCCACACTTTTGCTTTCCCATCACTTAGATAAAAGTTCATCTTTGTCTCATCTGTCCATAAAACTTCGTTCCAAAACTCTACTGGCTTTTGCAAACTCTAATCTTGCCTTTCTAGTTTTGGTGCTTGTCAGAGGTTTTCATCTTGCTGTGTAGCATCTGTAGTTCTGTGTCAAAGTTTCATGCGGACAGTAGATTGTCAGAGCATCACCCCCCAGCTTTCTGGAGGTTGTTGGTGATTTTACAGACATGTATTTTATAGAGTTCATTTTCACAGCTTCTATGATTTGTCTGTCATCAACTACTGTTGTTTTTCTCAGCCGATCAGGTCGTTGTTGGTTGCTGATGTCGCCGGTGGTTTCCAAACTCTTGATTTCTCCATGCCATTTGTTTTTAATTGACTTCCTCTTTTCATTTAGCAATTTTAGCAAATTGCTTTCTTTTCTCTCAAAGTCAGCTCACTCGTCTTCATCCTGGTTTGTGTGT